CATTATAAAAACAAAGTAAATTTATTATAAAATGAAAAATTTTGCAGAAAGAAGAAAACGATATCTGCCCCTTATTAGAAAACAACTTCGAACAACTTTAACTTGAAAAATCTCCATATTTGAGAAAAGAAAACCAAAAATTTAAACAAGAACAAAAAACAGGAGGAATCCTATGACTAAACACTACAATAGCATCATACTTTCCTAATAACTTGRTAATCTTTTGAAATATATAAACCGTGGAAGTTTTTAATGTATCAAGATTATTCCACAAACATATTTCCTGAAATACAATGCAGCGTAACTAAAAACCTTCACAAAAAGTCCAGTTATTTGACTTTTAAATAAGAAAATAATACAGAAGAAGATAATAATAACTGAAAAATTCCAGCTTCATTTTCTTGTTTTGAAAGTTGGCCCAGCTGTCATGAGAACACTGTGACACAAACTGTTAACGAGGGCCAGATTTGGCCCATGGACCTTCAGTTTGACACGTGCATTAGATCTTTAAACATGTTATTACATGTTTGATGCTGTCCGGATTTTGTTGCTTCTCWTACATTTTTGACTAAAATCAGTTTGTTTTGTTCCTCCTGCAGGTAAGGACGAGGCGCGGGGACAGCTGGACAGCGCGCTGCAGGACGTCAACACGCGCTACACCGTCCTGGAGGAAACGGAGAAGCGAGCCGTGCGCCGGGCGCTGGTGGAGGAGCGAGCTCGTTACTGCAGTTTCGTCATCATGATGAAGCCTGTGCTGGTCGGTTCTGTTCTGCCTCGTTTGAACGGTCGTTTTCAGCCACGCTAACCCCCGAACCGTTGTCTGCAGGACCACGAGATCAACATGCTGGGGGAGGTGACCCACCTGCAGACCATCCTGGAGGACCTGACCAACCTGACGGCAGAACCCAACAAACTCCCACCTGCCAGTGAACAGGTGCCTCACTCTTTAAATCTTAAATCTTTTAACCACACGTGGTTTGTGTTCAGAGATGAATCTGACATTTATGAGCGGCACAGATTTATTTTAGCTGTTTCTGCTCCTCAGGTGATTTTGGACCTAAAAGGTTCAGATTTTAACTACACCTTTCAGACACCTCCACCTTCTCCCAGCAACAGTCTGTCCAGGAAGAGCAGCATCAGCAGGTAACGAAAATACTGATTCTGTTTAAAAAAAACAAGCTCTTTAGAGCTGATTTCTTTAAGAAATTAGGGCATAAATAGTTTWAAATTAGAAACCTGGCTTCATTCTTTGTAATGATGTCATTAAAAACTTTGAGTTCTCGTGTTTCACAGCTACAATTCTGGATCAGTGAGACATGTCCCCTCCTTGGACTCCATCAGCTGTGCTGTGGACGGAGTTCACATCCAGGTAGGGCACAACAAGAACAAAATTTATTTATCTAAACTGATTCTGAGATGTTTCTGAATCTGATTAAAATGCTGTTTAAATATTTTTATTATCTCTTATTGTCAGTGGTGGGCACAGAGCCACTAATCCGCTATTAGTGGAACTAGACTTTACTTTAGCAGATTACGTAGCTTTTTTGCTAATTTTGGGAACTGTTGGCAGACCAATTAGCTTCCACTAAATTGGCCTCTGCTAATTTTGTSTAAAACTTATATTTTTAAACCATTCCGTAATGAATAAAAACTGTCAAGAACAGTGTGTGTAGCATCGTTAGCAGCTAACTTCAATCTAAGATTGTCAAAAAGAAAGAAAATGTTTAACTATAAATAAATAAATAAATATAAAAAGTGGTAGAGGAAATATTTGCTMTGTGTATCTATAAAAATATAAAATTGATTAAAGAAATGCTTTTATTCTGAAAAGGTTAAACTGGAAGTAGACAGAGCTTTAACTCTGGTTTGGATTGGCTAATTTGCCACAWATGATCCCGCCCACCTTCAAATTAAACCAATAGAAAACCAACAGGTTTGCATCAGGCCCGCTAATCGTCTTAGTGGTTTAGCGTTAGCTTAGCTAAGAGTCCTATTTAGCTCAGCTAACCATCTTAGCAGTTTAGCATTAGCTTAGCTAAGAGTCTTATTTAGCTCAGCTAACCATCTTAGCAGGTTAGTATTAGCTAAGAGTCTTATTTAGCTCAGCTAACCATCTTAGCAGGTTAGTATTAGCTTAGCTAAGAGTCCTGTTTAACTCAGCTAACCATCTTAGCAGTTTAGCATTAGCTTAGCTAAGAGTCCTATTTACCTCAGCTAACCATCTTAGCAGTTTWGTGTTAGCTGAGCTAAGAGTCTTGATTAGCAGATTAGTGCCTTCTTTGTTAGCTGTGCCCTCCACTGCTTGTTGTGTATTTTTCTAAAACACTCTGTCTTCCACCCACTTTTATTATAAGTTTCACTTTCAGCTGAAAATCTACCAAAATAAAAGTCTTCTATCAGAGCAGAAGTCCAAACTCAGACGCAGCTCTAACCCTCTCCTGTCTGTAGCCTTCCTCCCCCTTTCTGCTGTACGGCTGCTCTGAAAGTGGGCGGTCCCTCAGCGAAGGGAACTCCCCCTCTCGCCACGGTCGCCGCGGTTACGGCCACCCTCCCGCTCAGAGCCGCCGCGTTAGCCGCAGGGATTTGACCACAGTGAGAAAGACTTGTAACTACTCCACCCCTCCTGCCCCACCCCGTCCGTCATGTGGTTTTTTACCGTCTGTGTCCCATCAGTTTGAATCCATCTCACAGCATCTGTGTCCACAGATGAACGTGAAGCTTTCAGATCGATCCTCGTCTGGTGTTCAAACCCTCAACCACAAACCTGATTCATCCCATGGAGCCGTCTGTGTTTGTGATGATGTGCAGTACAAACGTGTTTCTGTTTGATGTGTTCAGATTAAAAGACTTGATTTCTCTTCACTTCATCTCTCTGAAGCAGATCTGTGTTTTCCTGTAAATATTATAATTTTTTTTATCCTCACAGATGTTGCCCCTCCCTCTTATTAAATAAGAACTTACTACAGAAACTGTAAACCCAGTTAACCAGAATAATCAAACATTTAGTATTTGTATATTTTTATTGTCATGTTTCAAACCCTCCTGAGCAGCCATTAGAGAAGATTTATTTATTATTAAGAATAATCTTTAGAGATAAATCTAAATTCTAGATTTTCTTTTAACTCACAGTTTCTGCTGACTCAGCGTTGTGAGCTTTTATTTTGAAGGAGCTGAGGTGGATCTTCTGTGATGGCTCAGTGGGATTATAATCTGTGTTTAAACACTGGGATTTATTCTGTTCGTGCTRACTCTGGTTTCTGTGCGACAGGATCTGATGGGCTCTACCAACCAGCTGCAGTCGGGGAGCGGCGGGGCGGAGAATGGCCTGCTGGCCCCCCCACACAACGCCTACACCCACCACGGAGAGCGAGCTCGAGCCATGTCTGCTTCAGGGAAGGTATACAAACTCCACGTTAGGTGGATTAAACCTGAAGATCTGCCAGAAACATCAAGCATTAAAGTCGAGGAGAATATTTAATATTTCATCAAACTCCGCCCCTTTTCAGTCCTGCTCACCGCGGGACCAGATGGGTCTGACGCTGGGGGGGTTGAGTTCAGACGCCTCGAGGAGCAGCAGGGACTCTCTGCACTGCTCCAGTGGCTACAGCACCCAGACCACCACCCCGTCCTGCTCCGAGGACACCATCCACACCCACAGTGAGTTCACACCTGTTCACACCTGACCACACTGAGTTCACACCTGTTCACACCTGACCACAGTGCGTTCACACCTGACCACAGTGCGTTCACACCTGTTCACACCTGACCACACTGAGTTCACACCTGTTCACACCTGACCACAGTGAGTTCACACCTGTTCACACCTGACCACAGTGCGTTCACACCTGACCACAGTGCGTTCACACCTGTTCACACCTGACCACACTGAGT